TCAATGCGGAATCCTCGACGATGATGAGGTCCGTTCCCACAATAAAGAGCTTAAAAGCTCAACTCCAACGGTGAAACTATTTATTATTTGTCAAAAAGTGAAAAAATTGTAGAAAATTAGATGTCGGGATTTAATAGAATAAGCTCAAAACTTTAATGTACAAAATAAAATGATGAGTTTATTAAAACTATACAATATAGTTAATTTCGCTCGTGCTAAGACTTTTACGTGTCAATAGCTTCTTTTCCGCGAGATAACTGATGCTTTTTCCCTCTGTCGTTATGGTCCTCCTCTGGGGCATCTGCCCCCACCCCTAGGTGTGCTAAGGGAGAAGGGTAAGAGTACATCCCTTCTCCTCTGAGTCATTGCAAAAAATTGGAAAAACCGAAAAAGTCCTAAAAGAGAAAGTTTTCTCGATCATATGGTCAATACTGAAGTAGTGGAGGCGACGAACAAAAGGATCCCTTTTTTATTACCCAGGCAAAGAGTTCCTTGGGGTCTTTGGTCAACCATATGCCCGGCTTACTCGAATGTCTTTAGAAAATGGATAAAAGCTATAAAATAAAATTCTAAAACGTGACAAATATCTAAAACGAGTACTTTAAGTTCGCGTTCTTATTATTTCAATTTCTGTTAAATTTATTGCAAGGGATCCAGCTTTCGTCTTCTCCACTGCACATTTTATTATTCTACAGTTTATGACTCATTTCCGTTTTATATTTTAGCGTGAGAAAATACTCAGTCGATTTACTCATGTTGCTTGGCAATATTTTATGTGTTAATCTTATAAATTAAATTTATTAATTCAAACTATTATTTAAATAAAACCGCGCATTCAGTGCTGCCTCTAGCGGGAGAGGAGCGCATTACACACATGCATTACAAATTATATGGGAACAACTGTGTTGTTACCCATAAGCGTAGCTTGGAAGACACTAGTCTTTTCGTCCCGGTCCCCACTACTGGACTCGTAAGGCTACGTAGTGCGAATCCTACCTTATACGACCATGAGGAAGTGAGAGTTGGATCGTGTATTAGTATATGCTACACACCAGGCAACATCTGCATTTGTAAGAAATCACATAGGTATTGACCAATGACAGAGACATCCATTGGCCAATCCCCACAATTACATCTTTCTGAAAGGAACAAGTAAAAAAAATTTCTCAAGACATATAATCGAATGAAAAGAATGATTGTCAGATTTCTTTAAAATTCATCACTCTTAGGTTTCAGAGGGCGCTGACGTCAAATTAAAAAATAATAATTTTTCAAAATTAAAAATGGCGACTAAAAATTGTTTATTCAGATTTATTTAAAACTCATAACTCGGGGGGTCTTAGAGGGCGCTGATGTCGAATTTAATTTAAATTATTTAATCAATCTGTGATGCCTTTGCTGTCGCCCGTACTTCTATTTTTAAACTTCACCGAAAATTAACAAAATGGAGGTACTTTTTGCATAAGTGGACAAAAATTACCTGTTTTTCGTAATTAATAGTGTCAAAATAATTCATTAAAATTTTAAGACGATTGAGGTACGGGCGATAGCCACTGTTGTGCTAAGTGTCGTGTTAAATGTTCAAGCGGATACCTTTAGCGGTTTTTGAGAAATCAACTGCGCCAGGCGTAAAAATGTTGTTTTGCGATAAAAATGCGTTTAAAGATTTATCAAATGTTTGATAAAAAAAACTTTTCCATTAAAGTGGATGATCGCAGCTATAAAAAAATACGTTACTATTATTTAGCTGAGAACTACTTGTATACTTATTTTCATTTAAGTTGGTGATTTACACTTTCGTAGGTTAACATGTTAAAGAGTCCATAGTGCGCAGTCTTACAACCTCTACTTAGGGTGTTTTCGGCATTCACTCAGAGTTAACTCTAGAGTTAGCAGTGGTGCTCAAATGTAAATTTTGATTTTCAGTTCGTCTGTTGGTTGTGAACGTTGTTGATTGGCAATTTGGCATAGACGATTCATTTTGATTGGCGCAGGGTTTGCAATTGTAACAACATGTGAAACGGGCCTTTTATTCTAGTAATGTAATGTTAAAATAAAATTTTTTGTTTCTAGATTTCATAAAAGTCCCCAAAAATTTATTACTAGATGACCCAGAGTTAACTCTGTTTTCTTGCGAGAGTAAAGAAAAAGGGTCAGTCCTAACCTTTAATGGCCGACAAAATTTGTGAACGGATTGTTTGTTTTGAAAAGTGTAAATTGAAACATAATAATTTATCTTTATTAAAAATTATTTTAACTTTTTATTTATAAAAAACAACTTTAATTAAAATAAATAATCTAGTTTCTAAAACAATTCAGATTAATTAAAGTTAGGGAAATAATGAAAAATTTGAAAATTATAAACTTTAAAAAAATAACACGTTTATGGGTAGCAAAAATATGTTCCATTTTTAAATGAAAAACAAAAAATACGTATAATTTAAAAAAAGTAAGCAAACAAGGACAACTAACTTCAAACTCAGGGTGATGAAAATAGAAAATCAATTATTTTATTTAGGTAAATAAATTTTCAAAGATAATATCATTGAGCACCACTATTAACTCTAGAGTTAACTCTGAGTGAATGCCGAAAACACCCTAAGATTCGTTACTTTTAGTGAACCAGGGACGTTTTGCCTAAACCATCTATGGAATATTAATTTTAAAACCCTAAACAATAAAAAATGCACAAAAGAAAAAATTTTTTTTTGACCATTTACGTTGGGATTCTCCATTAATTTAGAAACATTTTATTCATTTCTATTCTAAATTGATGTATTTTCAAAAACTAATGACACCATTCGATTCTACGGGAAAAATTACTAATGGAACGTACATGACTTTTTTCTAATTATTATTCTATTTGTTATAAATAATTTATAAACAAATTTTAACGTCTAAAGTAATGATTTGAACCACAGTCAATTTTCTAATTTTGACTTTTATGATATTTCCATGTGTCTAAGCATGGGTGTTAATGGGTTAATCCCAAGTAATTCCTTCCGAAATGAGTGAAGATGAAAAGGGGCGTTCTTCACTGCGCAATTTTGAGTCTAAAACAAAAACTCAAATTTTTTTAGAAAGGTGACATCCTAAAAAAAAGGTTATACCTATAAAATAGTTAAAAAGTTAAACAAATGACAAAATGGCGGCCACTTTTTTAAAACACAGCGTTTTTTGGCCCATTTTTTCATGTTTGACCTCTTGTAAAAAATCTTTATTGTTAACAATTGTGTCGTATTATAGATATAACCCCAGCAGAATTTAGTTACCTTCAATTAGCCGCAAACCCGAAGCTGATTGGTTAAATAGTTTAGACGCTACATTGCCCACCAGTTTAAAATATCTTTTGTCGAGAAAAATGCGTTTTAAGTTTTGGAAACATTTTTATGTATAATATTTGTCTACTTTAAAAAAAAATTGATTCAATTTGCCTAAAATTCGTTACTCGGGGGTTTTTGGGGTCGCTGATTACGAATATGATTTCAGATTTTGAAAATTCAAAATGGAGGATCCAATATGGCGGAAAAATTTTCAAAAATTAAACATATTCGCTTAAAAATCGTTACTCGGGAGTTTTTGGGGCCGCTGATTACGAATGTAAAGTCAGTTTTTTAAAATTCAAAATTACGGATCCAATATGGCAAACAAGTATTTTTAAAAATACTCAGATTCGTCTAAAAATAGTTTCTCGAGGGTGTTCGTTGTCGCTGATTACGAATTTAAAGTCAGTTTTTTAAAATTCAAAATGGCGGATCTTATATGGCGGACAAAAATTTTAATATTAAACATATTTGCTTAAAAATCGTTTCTTGTGAGTTTTTGGGGCCGCTGATTAAGAATTTAAAGGCAGTTTTTTAAAATTCAAAATGGCGTATCCAAATTAGCGGACAAATTTTCTAAAATTAACACATCAGCTTGAAACCGGTTACTCGATGGTTTTTGAGGTCGCTAATTACGAATATCAGCTTGATTTTCAAAAATTCAATATGGCGGACGACTTTTTAAATACCGATTTAATTTGCCTGAAATTCGTTATTAGCGGTTTTTTTAGGTCGCTGATTACGAATATTATTTTAGATTTGCATGACTCAGAATGGCAGATCCAATATGGCTAGTGAAAAAATTATTAATTAAACGAGTTTTATTAAATTTTACAAATAAGGTCAAATTGACAAATCTATACATTGTTATATAAATAAAAATTGTTAAGTAAAATTTAAATAAGTCGTGATATGTGGAAATTGAAAATTTTTTTTTTTCAAAAATCAAAATCAGAATTGTATTTTGCGGGTCCTTTATCATCTTTACAGGATTTACTTCAAAAGGTTCAAGTTTATAATCACTACGTTGTGAAATGGTCAAATGATAACCTTCGTACATTGTTGGCTCTCCCACCTTTATTTATTATTACTTAAAAATAATAAGATATTTGAAATAACTTTTTGGTAACTTTGTTGATTTTTCTATATAGTTTATTTATGTATTCTATATTATACATTTACTTTCATTAAAATGATTAATATGTTTTAATCCAAAAATATTTTATTAAAGCACGGCATTAAATACTAATTTTTGTATTAGGCAATCTACGATTTGCGCAGTACTACAATATGTACTTTGTTCGTTGAGAAGCTTATTAGATCTAGGAACCTGTTTTTCTTAAATAAATAAATATCTTTTGCTTTTTTTATATTAGCAGTCACATTGTAATAGTTAATTTTACTAAGCATGGACAAATTAATTTATAAATATAAATAATTTTTGTTATTCAGCAAAACATACATAATTACATGAATATAATTCTTATACAATAACTCATTGTCAGTATTGAACAGTAAAGCACATCAAAAAAATTATAATATAATCTGAATGAGCACCAGAACACAAGAAAATTGTTTTCAAATTTATAACATAAACATTAATTTCTCCATGATTCAATAAGATGACCTTCAATTCGTATCAACTTTGAATGTATGAGAAAATGTAGAAATATTTACCTGAAAAGTCCAGAAGATAGCAAAACGTATGACATTTCTTCGACGATCATCAAATCGTTTGTCCCGTCCAATTTTCATGATTCTATACAATAGGTATGCTGAAAGACGTACACCCCAGAGGCAAATAAATATGGTTACCATGAGTTGCCGACTATCGTATGTCTGTGCAAAAATATATTATTCTCAAATTAAAATGAAAATTATAGTAAAATTAAATATCTACAATTTTTTAAATTTGCAATTAATCAAGTAAAACAATTCACAACAGTTATAAGTGCATATAAAATTTGGATATATTTCTATATATTTCCATATTACCCATTAAAAGCACCATAAAATCATGGTTTTTTGCGATTAACTCGTAAAAAACACAAAATTTTGAAAAATGTATTACATAAAAGTTGTAGATCTTTAAAAACCACACATTTTATGTCCTATAAATTTTTTACCAAAAGTAATTATTTTTCGAAAAAAATCCAAAAACCATAAAAATCATGACAAATGATGGAAAAACAGTGCACATCATAACTATAGAGGTTTTTACGATTTTTTTCTCGAAAAATAGTCATTTTTGGTAAAAAATGTATCGGTATATATGTATGTATAAAAATGAGTGTTTTTTAGAGACCTACAACTTTTATCTAAAACATTTTTTGAAATTTTGCATTTTTTACGAGTTCATCGCAAAAAACTAGGATTTTATAGTGCTTTTAATTGTTTTCACAATGATAATCAATTTTGCGCCAATTTTCACTATTGTTTTCGTAATCAGTTCACCAAAATACGTTAGTAGACCAAGTTTTATTAAAATCGGAGGTACTCTAACTTCGGAAGTACACCCTAAAATTTTAGGGACGTGTGTTGGCAGTAAAGTACTGAGTCAATGTTCATTTGGATAAATTACAAACTAGGGTAAAGAAACTGTTATTGAGTGAGTGGAAGAGTTAGAAAAAAATCTCATATGAACACGCTCAGCCCACATAAACAATTCATGTACGGAGCGACTTTGTAAACGAGTCTCCGTGTCTGATGGTCAGTGTTTTGTTTACACTGCTACACAAAAAAATCTAAACTGAAGGTCTGACTATGTTTACTATACGTTTTTGGGGTCGCTGAATCCGAATCTGAGGTCCATTTGACCCCATCACAATAAGATTTTCATATAACCTCAAAAAACCAATATGGTGGACACTATATTTGTAAAAATTCATCGGATTCGCTTAAAACTCGTTTCTCGGGAGTTTTCGGGGTCGCTAATTACGAATCTAATTTTTTTAAATTCAATATGGCGGATCCAATATAGCGCACACATTTTGGAAGAATTTCAAAATTTTTTCGGATTTGCTTGAAACTTCTTACTTTGGGATTTTCGTGATCGCTGATTACACAAAAAAAATATTTTTCTAGCCCGGAATTACACTATGTGTATTATACGTTTTTGGGGTCGCTGAAACTGAATCGGTGGTCTATTTTACCCCATTACGTCAGTATTTTGACATAACCTTAAAAAATGGCTTCTTAATGTTACGAAAAGTAAAAAAAATAGATTTAATACTTTAGGGTATAATTCCTACATGTTTTTGAGGTCACTGAATCTAAATTCGATATTCATTTTACCCCATAGCGTCAGGTTTTTGACATAGCCTCGAACTGTAACGATATAGTTCGAAAAAAGAGAATGACTAAACTACATATGATCTATTCACTTTTAAGTATTAGTGTAAGTAAATTTGATGTAGATGTATATTCTAACGCCTAGACATGAATAAAATTTTATTTTTTGTGTGGCTTGAAAGCCTTCTTTAGGCTATGTCGAAAACCTGACGATATAGGGTAAAATGAATATCGAATTTGGATTCAGCAACCTCGAAAACATGTAGGAATTATACCCTAACTATTAGATCTAATTTTTTTACTTTTCGTGCTATTAAGAAGCTATTTTTTGAGATTATGTCAAAATCCTGACGTGATGGGGTAAAACAGACCACGGATATTGGATCCGACATTTTAAATTTTCAAAATCTGACACCGTATTCGTTATCAACGACCCGGAAAACCCGAAAATAACAAGTTTTAAGTGAATTTCTAAAAATTTGTCGATCCAATATTAATTTCTTATAATTTTTTAAAAGAAAAATTAATTTGTTTAAAAAAATAAAATGCAGAATATGTGTAAAAAATTCTAAAAATAATTTTAGACGTTTCTGATAGTAAGAAAAAAAATGACTTAATTTTCATTGTAGGTTATCAGATTGTGGGACGCTCAGCGTCCCACAATACCGCAAAGGGTTAACAAAGATGGAAAATCAGAGGGTCGATTATCTAATTCCATTTGCATTCTCACTTCCACTTTTTTATTTTCATTACCATTTCCTCTTTTTCTAATTCTCATTCCCACTTTCACTTCCACTTTATCTAATTTTCATTCCCATTTCCACTTTTTCTAATTCTTATTCCCACTTCCACTTCAATTTTCATTCCCATTTCCACTTTCATTTTTTTATTTTCATTTTTTTTTTTTTGATACGAAATACAAATTTTCTGGAGTTTTCTCCATGGAGACCCGCGGTAGTATTGTGTGCTCAACACGATCACGCACTGTAAAAAGAAAGTACTAAAATAGTACCGATTTTAGCTATAAAAACACCAAATGAAAATTTAGTACCTAAAGTCGGTATTAAATGAATATCTTTCGTTTTACAGTGCGGGTTCCAAAATTTTGTATCACGTCAGGATTTTGGAAAAAAGAGTAAATACCCCAAAAAAACAAGTTTTTTCAGTATCATCAATTTATTAAAAATAATTTAAACTAAAATTTAAAACAATTTCATATTTTTCATTTTCATATTTCTACAATTAGTATTTAATAGTTTTGTAACAAATTAATGTATATTATTTATACTTTTTTGTTATTAACATATTTATATACGGCAACACATTATTTCAAGTTAACTTTTACTGTAATAAAATTAAGTTACTAACATATAATTGAAATAAGCGGTTAAGAAAAAGTAAAAAACTATCAACTTTGCTTGAATGTTGTCACTCGTGGGTTTTTGGGGTTGCTGATTACGAATCTAAGGTCCGTTTTTAAAAATTCAAAATGTCGGACGACAATTTTAAAAATTATTCCAAACTTGAAAATCGTTACTCAAGGGTTTTCGGGGTTGCTGATTACGAATCTGGAATCAGTTATAAAAAATTCAAAATAGCGGATTCAATATGGCGGACGATGAAATCAAAATTCAAACAAAGCATGAAAGTTGTCTCTTACTTCAAGTTTGAAATCAGCGACCCCTAAAAGCATCGAGTGACAACTTTCATGCAAATTTGTTTGATTTTTGATTTCATCGTCCGCCATATTGCATCCGATATTTTTAATTTGAAAAAACTGACTTTAGATTCGTAATTTGCGACCCTTAAAACCCCCGAGTGACAACTTTTAAGTAAATTGGTTTAATTTTCAATTTCATCGTCCGCCATATTGGGTCCGTCATTTTGTATTTTAAAAAACTAACTTCCGATATGTAATCTGCGACCCCAAAAACCCCCTAGTGACAACTTTTAAGCCAACTGAATTATTTTTTTAAAAATTCGTCCGCTATATTGGATCCGCCATTTTGAATTTTTTAAAACTTATTCTCCACAAAAACGATTTTTCAAAAATTTTTAAATGAAAAAAATAATAGTTAATCTTTATTAATATTGCTCAAAGTGCTCTCATTATTTGTCCGCCAGTGACACCTACAATTTAAAAAAAATTTATCCCTTTAGCTCTTATAGTATTCGAGATATTTAAGAAAATGTAGTGTATATGTTACGGTCATTGTCGATTATCGGGCAATGTCGACATTTCCCACATACATAAAAAAAGACGATAAATACAAGAAATATATTTATTTATTACAAGTACAAGAATGTAATTTATTTATTTTTGCTTTAGTTATCGTCATAAAAGAAAATATAAAATAACTTTCATTTCATCCAATTTTTGGTTGATGAAAGCTAAAATCTATTAATATCAGAATATAGAAAATTTCTTTTTACATTGAAAACAAAGGTTTTTAACATCATTCAATAAAAAAAGTCAGTTGTTTATGTACTTTTAAATTTTTATATATCGTCATCTCTGACGATTACTGACACATGGAGAATTTAGAGTTTTAGTTATCGTTTTCCTTAATAATAAAATAAAAATTTAAACATTGACTTATTTTTTTTCAATCCTTCAATACTAGTTTCATTACTTTATGATAAAAACATAAGCTTAACTGTCAATTCACTTTAAACTACTAATCACAAGTTATTGTGTATCTGTCATTAGCCTAACAAGAACTTTAAGAAATGTCGCTGATCTAGTCAGTACATGGCCTTGTCACGAACAAATATACTTCTTTAATTAAAAATTCAGTATTTGCACTACGAATTTGTATCCTTTTGATGCCGAATAGTTTGATTTTATCAAAACATACAATTAATAACACTGACGATTACTGGTGCATTTACCTTACAGAGTAATTGATTGTCGAAAGTTTGTTTACGTTATTGTGTAACTAATTTTGTTTATTTCATGACGTATGAAGCTATCACATAGCATTTTCAAAATTGCCCAAGTTGGACCAGGCAATGTTGACAATGCCCGGAAAAGTTAAATGATATGAATATTTTTGGGACATTGGCCGGATATTGTCGACAATGCCCAATAATCGACAATGACCGTAATATATATATATATATATGTCGTAGGCAATTAGAAGAATTCGACATTTAGCTAAAAGCCTAGGCATTTAGCTAAATCGCACAAGTTAGACGAATGGACTTGGAAAATGATTAAATTCGTCTATTTGCCTGAATAGATTTGACATTTAGCTATTGAAAGCTACTGAAAGAAAAATTTTTAAATGTTAATTATTATTTATTGGTTAAGTTAAATTAAATTTTAATTATTTATTTGAAAATGGTTGGCTCTGATGGCAAGGAGAATTACATAGAGTACCCGATTTAAAACAAATGCATCGTTTGGTTTTACATTGCGATTGACTGGCTTTACAATTACACTTTCAATTTTTCTTCAAATTCATTGCGATTTACACTCATTTTTGGTAAAAAAAAAATAGAAATTTAAATAAAAATTCGCGTCAACTACAATTTTCACTTAGAGG